CTTATCAACCCTCTGGCTTCCACATTTATCAGAGTGGGAAGGAGAGAGCCATCAGCTATGCCACAGAGTGATTTCTGGGGCCCCTGCCCACGAAGCAGATCAAAAAAAGAAGCTCATGCCTGCCAGAGTGAAGTTTTCACCATAGCAACACATGTTACTCTACAAACAGTGGGGACTAAGGCGCTCTGTTGTGACCAGTCCCAGCAATGTCCCAGGAACAAGCGCTGAGGGTTCAGACAACAGAGCCAGAGGGAACAAGCACCTAGTAAGCCTGTGGGCGCCTGTGGGCGCCTGCGGGCGCCTGTGGGCCCCTGTCCTCCTGTTGCTACTCCTCCACAAGCCAACAGTGACAGCACGAAGACTGTCCAGTACCCACGGCCGAGTTCTAATAAGATGGATGTTAGAGAGAAAACAGATGTTCTCACTTGAGCTGCCGCTGAGCACACACAGGCTCCCTGGAGAAAGGAGGGCTCCGTGTAGAGCGATCGCCCTCTCTGGAGAGCAGAAGGCTAGCGCTGAAGGACTTGGGGAAAGATCCTAGGCAAAACGTATCACTTCTGAGATGAACTACAACCAGGAGCTTGGAGCTGCTGGCATGGCGGAGGAGGCAGTCAGACCCAACAGGGAAGCCATCAGTGTAATGGTTGAGACCAGGGAGTAAGTGCCATGTGCCAGCACAGAGCTGGACTTTTTTACAGGTATCAGTTTCATTCTGCGGTTAGGGTGAAAAACTCACTAACTGATCAATGGCACCATTCTGGCAGTCACATTTTTGCTATAGGGATGATCAACATACCCTTACATCTCTAGTACGGGCCTGGAGGCTTGACTAGGAGAAAATCCAAATCTCTGCTCCGTGGCTCAGATCACTGAGTAATGGGTGTAGATATCTAAACACAGATAAGGGTACCTAAGAGAGTAAGTGACCCTTCTTGGTTTCCCCTGACTAATTTTTCTAAAATGCCACTGATGGATGAACGACGTCAAAGGCTGGAGAGGGAGATGCATACAGTTAGAAACTAAAAAAGTCTGGCAAAAGGGATGTATTAAGTGTGCACCAAAAATTAATCAAAGAAAAATGACAAATGTCTGCAGATGCAAGTCTGTGGGCATCTATATGCCTCTTTATATTAACACAATCTCAGCAGGATTCTTTTATAATGCTCATGTTAAAAGACAGCACCAGCAGCCTCATACCATGCCTGCAGGTATGTCAGAGAACCCACTTTATAGGCCACACACACACATCATCCTGCCCAGTCAGTCAGGTGTCATGTTAGGAACAGAGAAGAGCTCTCCTGAAGCAAAGGTGGTTCAATCCCATCTGCCTCCCAAACAACTGAGAAGCGAAAAGCAGTCACTACCCAAAACCTTCCTCTGGGCCCTTAAGTCATCACAAACCAAACAGAAACCAAACCTACAAATGACAGGCCCAGAATTTTAAGAAATATCTCCTTGCTGCAGAGCCCAGAGAAACTACTAATGATCCTTAAAACAAGTTTCTGTCTCAAAATGCCATTTTAGAGGTAACGTAAAAATTGCTTCCTCTGTTTCCTCATGCCCCCTTTTGCTCATTCTCCTCTTGCTAATGAGAGAGTTTTCCTTTTCCTCTGCCTGTTTCGGTTTGAAACGTGGCACTGAATGGGACACTGGAAAGCAAAGGCAGTGGAGAGGGAAAGGCTGCTTTCAAATCTGACACACACACACGCTCACCCTTACTGGCCGCCCACACCCTGAAGGATGGCCAGACCAGAATCCACCTGAGACAGGACTGAGGGGCCACACTGCACGTGAAAACTCCCCCTCTCCGCAAAGCAGAGTTAAGAAAGAGAAAGCTGAAGGGAAGGAGGGGGAAATAAAGCTCCACATTCCTGACATTTTTTAGCCAAGTGCTGTGGCTGCACAGAACAGCTCTATTCCAAACAGCCTGCAGGATGGAAAGAAAACCTGGGTTCTGGGGGAAGAGCCGGCCCCCTGCCTTGGAAATGGGAGAAGGAATCTCAGGATGGCATGGCCGGAAATCAAGTCAAAAGGCAGAGGGAGGGGCCCTCTACCGTGTGGAAGGAAGTGATCCCAAGGGGAGGAATTTGGAATCATCTCCCAGGAGACAGGACTGTAGGCTTGGGGTTCCCAGCGGGGGGTGGAATGCAAGTCCCTCTAGAACTTGTAAGCTAACATGAATTGAAGAAGGAGCAGGCAGGGATGGATGGAGACCAGTGAGGGTGCAAGGGCTATGGCTAAGGGGACCCAGCTCATGGGCAGAGGTCAGGCAGCAGACCACTGGGGAGCAGGAAAAGTGGCCAGGAGGACTTGCTCTCTGTGGGAAGGACAGGACTGAGTTTTCCTGACTCGGCTTCTAAATGAAGGGACCCTAGCCCTGCCAAGTTAGAACCCAAAGCCTGACGTCTTTCTCTCTGGCTCCCTCGCCTTTCCTTCTCCACCCCCTTCTTCCCTCACTTCTAGGAAAAGGTATGCTAAGTGCTGGACTGCGCTCCCCACCGTGTGCACCCTACTCCAGAAGAGAACCCAGAAGACCTGAGCAATACCTCGTAAATCCAGCGCTAATCTCTCCCCACCTCATTGTACTCCAAATGTGAAGATGCCACCTGTGTTCTTCCAAGAAGCCTAAAAGCAAGTAAGCTGTTTTCGATAAGGAAAGCTGAGTTCCCAGGGTGCCCGATATACCTATCACTGTACACAGTCAGTCACTGGGGGATGAGGAGCTTCGTTGGGCCAATTACATCACATCACGACGCCCAGCCTTCATAAGAGAAACTGGGGCACAGCTGACCTGACCAGGTTACCAGCACAGGCCACAACACCACGAGGCATCTTTGAGAGGAAACACCTGCCTGGATGCCCAGCCATGGAGCTGTAGGTCTGATTGTTTAGAAGAGGGTGGAAGAAAGGCGCCTTCAGGCATTTCAGCCAAGGTCCCTTCTATACTGCCCAATCCAATCCCAGGAGGGGAAAGCACAATTTTGTATTTTATTCCACTACCTTGGGCCTTGGTTTTGTGTCAGGTTTCAGGAGAAACGGTTCCCAGCACTTTCAACTGCCACAGAGTGACTAGCTGAATGCACAGGACTTTCTACGAGACCAGAGACAAGGAGAGAAGGAGATGCCAAGCGGACACACCAGGCTACTCTTTTTGAGCACAGATAAAGCAGGTAGAGTCACAAACCTTAACAAGTGCCAGAAGCGGCAAAGACGCGTAAGGCTAGGCAAGAGACTCTGCCAGCTGTAGAGCGTCAGAGCATGTGGCTAAGGTCTCCGGCTACTCCGTGTGTCTTTCCAACCACAGCCTCCAAGATTGGTGACACGGCAGGAGGCTTCTTAGAAGGGAGGGCAGCAAATAGATACTGCGGGTATTAGCTGGACAAAACCATTCTCTGTTATTTCCTTAAGCTGTTATTATAGTAAATAATAATAGGGTTTCTGGAGCAAGAGACTTTAGTTTTGCATTTATAGAATCTTGTGAATTTCCTCATGAGGGTATCTCTAGTAAATCCCACAATAACTCAATGAGGGAGATGGGTTTTACTACTTCTTTATGGATAGGGAAACTGAGCTGCAGTGAGTTTTCTATTTGACTAATGGCACAGCAGCTGAGACACAGGCACCTCTGGCTTGACACAGCCTCTTCCAATAGACCATGCGTGTAGGGGGGGCGGGAGGAAGGCCAGGAGAACTTAAATAAAGGAGCACTACCGAAAACTGGAATGCAGACCCCGATCCCAGTCTCAGGTCTATTTCACAGACCCTGAGGCCCACCAAGGAAACATTCACATATCCCACCACAAGAATGTCCCAGCGTGAGGGCATCTTCACGGGGCAAGGAGGATGCTTGTCATCCTTAGAGGAGACAGGAAACCCAGAGACAGGGGCAGAGAAATTAGCCAGGCCAGGAATCCCTCATCTACAAGGCAGTTTATACAAGGTTACAGCTTCCTAAGGCATCCGGAGAAGGCAGATAAGAACCCTGCCCAGAAGGAGGACAATGTACTGCCTCCGAGGAGCCTCCTCCTGTCATTCATGTGTCTCACTTTGGGGACAAGATACACTACAGCCAGCCCTATACTGTCACATTTTCCTCACTCTCCACAGCAGGGTCTTTCCCACTAGACCATCCGTTTCTGACTGGTGGGGTCTTACTAAACTCCCAGTTTTATGAGGCCTACACCAGCCACAGCAGCAGGGGCAGAAACCTCTGTGGGCTTGGTACCCTCCCAACTTATGAGAACTCTTTGCCCACAAAGGAGAATAAATACCTCTGTCCCTCTTCTTACCCTGATAGGCGGAAAGAAGCTTTGGGTTCACCACAGATGGCTCTAAAGGAACCGCCCATAGAGTGATAAAGGATAATTAAGCTAAAAAGAAAAGAAAAATGGGGGGGGGGTGAAGGGCTTGGGAAGAGGACAGAAAAGAACTGAGGGGATGAGGACAGGGACACTTGTGAAAACCCCAAGCAGGCTTCAGAGCTGAGGATGCAAAAGACCTAGGAAATCAGGTGGGAGGTGGAAAAGGGTTGGGGGTCCCTCCCACTGGAAAAGCCCTGAGAGCTGGCAGTCAACGCTTGGAAGGGGGAGTTGTGCAATGACTGCGGGCTGGGAGTCTCTGGGCTGGGTTCCTGGACACCAAAAAGGAAACCCCACTCATCTGGCCAGAGTGGCAGCGCGGCAGTTGGTTCGAGGCCAGGCTTGGGATTCAGGGCTGCAGAGAGAACTGCAGGATACGGTGGGTGCCCAAGGGGGCGGCAGATCAGGGCAGGGCTGGCAAGGCGCAGAGCTTGGGGGGGAGGGTGGTGTCTGGATTAAGAGGCCAAGGGGGGAGGAACAGTGCACAAAGCCGGGAAAGTGCACAAAGCCGGGGGAGGGGGGGGTGCAGATAGCATACATGGCAGTCAGGCGCCCCAGTTCAGATGAAGACCCCGGGGACCCGCAAGCGTACGCCGGCGGCGCACAATAGGGGGCACTACCCGCCCCAGTAATCTCGCTCACCTCGAACATAAGTCCAATGAGGACGCAGAGCACCAAGCAAAAGCCGATGTCCGCATGGTTGTGGATGACGAACTCCTGGCTGAAGAGCGGGTAACTTTTCGTCCTTCTGCGAAAAGCCATGGCAGCGGGCGCGCAGCGGCCGGCGGGGCCCGCACCCTGCGCTCACGAGCCGCGGCGCAAACTTCTCCAGCCCCGGCCC